ACGGTTTCCGTCTGCGGTGGCACCTCAACAACTGTTGTGGCGTGCGGCTCTGGCGGAGTCGGCGCAAGTAATCCCACCTGCTTTGTCGACTTACTGCCGCCCCCGTCACCGCCAGCCTCCGCCTCGCGTGGGAGGCTACGAGTGGCGGAGGAAGCAGGTGCTGCGGGGGGCACAAACGGGTGCTGCCGGCAGCGCTCCTCCCCCACAACGTACGGAATGTCGTTTATCAACGCCTCCGCACGTTCGCGTAGGCATGCGTCGATGCACGCCGTTGACCTCCGCGCCCTCTCCGCGTCGCGGCGTATCATAAGCAGCGAGTGGATATCCTCGTCTGTGTCCAGGTCGGGAATGTTCCCAAGTAACACCCCCCGCACGCGGCTGCCAAGAAACGGGTAGCGCAACAACATTTGCGCCGTCGCATTGCCCAACTCCTCAGCAAAGGACTCAATCGCGGCACTGACAGAGTCTTCAACCAACGCTATCAAACGACAGTCCCGCATCACCGAGGTATTGCCACGCACGGCGCGCATGCGATTCATGGCGGCCTCCAGACGCGGATCAGCGAGATTTAGATCCTCAAGGAATATCCCCAACGAAGGTTCCTCTGGAAGAAACGGGCATACCTGCTTGAGACCCGCAACTCGCCTTTTCGCCATCTCTACGGCGGTAACATTGATGGCAACTGGTTTTGGAGTCAGGTCCAAAGCACAAACCGTAATGAGTGGATCAGGCTCCGCGACCACTGGGGTGTCTGAGCCATCTCCCACGCCACCGCCAAGATCATCGTTCACCACTGGCGCCTGCCGTCCCTGAGGCCGGCTCTGCACAATGGGCCCCGCAGGTGCCGGCCCCTCTTTCCGCTCACTCTGCCTGTACCTGCTGCCGTAGTTCATGACGGGCATCCGCCGCCCCTGAAGCCGGCTCTGCAAGATGGGGTCCCTATCTGACGAGTTAGGCTTGCTGCCGTGGCGGCCACCGCTCGGCACGTGATTCTTCATGGCGGGTAGTTGCACCTCAGGACCTCCCCCTGGCCGGGAGGCCGACGCCCGCCCTTTAACACTGCCGCTCTGTGGCTGTGTGGGCGACGCATGAACTGCGGGGCGTGGTAGTGATTCCTCTTCGCATGTGCTCGGCGTCTTTGACGGGGAAAGCGTTGCAAATACACATGCTGACGGCTTCGCCTCACGACCTTGCCGCTTCCCCGATGCCGCAACCTCATCAGGCGCCGACTGTGTGCCTGGTTTGTTTGGTGTAGGGGATGCATTCATTGGGGACGCCCACTTGTTGTGGCACTTGGCAACAGCCGCAGCCGCAGCCGCAGCCGCAGCGATCACCGCGGTCCTATTGTTGTCCTCGGTGGAGCCATTGCTGTTGCTCTGCTGTGCGTCTTCCCGCGGCGTCTCCCGCTTCACCGCTGGCGCGCCCCCGTGACGCAGGCGTTGCACCTCCGCCCGTTGCTCCTCCAGAAATCGTGATGTGTGCGCAACCGGTTCGAGGCCCCTCTCGTACTTGTTGTGTACCTTCCGCCCCGCACGAAAGATGTCGAGCCGCGCGTTCAACGAGGCCGCGGGAGAAGCGTCAACGTTTGCGTCCATCAGTGTCCCCCACCGCGATGCCGTCATGCCACCATCGCCGTGCGTCGCTGCCTGCCAAGCAGCCATCCGTGCGGAAGCCAGTGCGGGCTCCAGTTTGCAGAGCGCCGTCTGCTGCAGCACCTCAGTCTGCACTGCAAATGAGCCAGCGCCAACGGGCAGCACGAGATCCACGCAATCATGCCGCAGCGCACTCACCGCCTCCCGCAGGCGCTGAGCACCCAGCTGGACATAATACTCCTCGTCATGAGAAAAGTAGAAGCCATACGTGCCGGTCAAGCCCTCCACAGCCTCTCGTAATTCGTCGCAGCGCCGGCTTGCGGCATAGTGTATCGCCTCCCACAGCCGCTTATTCCCCGCCTCCTCCATGAAGGTGGACCGCAACATCGTCCGCTTGACGCGTCCAAGCATCGGCACCTGCCGCTTCGTCATCTGACTCAGGCGAAACTCCGGCACGACAATCCATATCAGCTCCTTCTTCATTCGCCGCATGAGGCGCTCGTGTAGTTCCGGCGGCTGCGGGC